GGCGGTGACGGCGAAGGTACTCGTTGGGGACGGGATCGACCTGCTTCTTGGCGGCAGGGACAAAATTCAAGTACAAGGGAAAGATAGCGCCGGCGCAGAAAAGCGCAACAAGAACGCTGTACGAGTAGGAAACACCCCCGGCAAGCTGGGCGGCGTACTGCGCGAAGGGGAAGTAAACCCCACCGCTGATGGCCGTGGCCAGCAGCGAAGCAGCCGTCTTCGTATGACGGGCGGTGCCACGGAGGGACAGGGCGAAAATCGTGCTGAATGCGCCGCTCTCAAAGAGGTAGACCATCAGACTCATGGCGACCGCCGTGGAGCCGGTTGTCTTCATGCATAGCACTGCAAACACAATCATGCCAATGTACGAGAGCATCAGAACCCATCGTGGTTTCAGGAACCACTGCATGAAGGCGGTCAGGAACCGCCCGACGGCAAAGACGGTGTGCCCGATCGTCAAGTATTCGAAAGGGCCTAGGCTAGAGCTACAATTGGGTTAGCGGTCTGGGCTGGTCATCGAATGCAGTGGAGGGATTCTGACCTTGGATTCGCAGCAACGACAAAGGAATCGAAACTCTGCGAAAGAACTTCTTGGCCTGCCACATAGAAGAATTGGGAAAACACCCCAAGCCCCAGGGTCAACCAAACCACAGGCACTCCGAGCACTTTGGTCATATTGTCCTCGCGGCGACGATCGGCTAGTTCCTCCAAATCATCATCGGACGCCTCGGGGATGGGCAGATAGTAGAAAGCCACGGCTAGGAGCACGTCGAACAGGGCGATGCCCAAGTAGGTCCATTGGATGTCGACCAGGGATCCCACATCAGTGACTCGTTTGAACAAGACCTTTTTGGCCAGAAGAGGCGAAACAACGCTTCCAATGGCCTGAACGCCCTGCGAGATATTGAGACGGATTTCCGAGTTCTCCAGCGGCCCGCAGAGAGCAATGAACGGGTTGGCGGCCGTCTCCAACACCGCGAGGCCGAAGCCTACGATGAAGTTCGAGACTGTAAAGGCAGAATAAGAGGTCAATACGGCCGAGGGCCAGAAGATGAGCGTCCCGCACGCGTATATACATAGGCCCGTTATAAATGTCGACTTGAACCCCCATCGCTTCAGCACAGTTCGACCGACCAGTGGTGGGCCCACTAAGTACCCACCAAAGTATACAGCATGAAGACCAAGGGAGCGCCACGAGTCCAGACGGACGATCTGCTGAAATTGAGAGTTCAGGATGTCCAGTAGCCCATACGCGAAGCCCCACATAAAGAAAAGGATGGTCGTCAGGGCGTTCGGGGCTATCGATTCTTTGTTCGTCAACTTGAGCATGCTGGGTGGGTTATTCATGTTCACAAAGTCGAAAAAAGTGATACTGTGCGGAGAAGACGTGCTGGTCAGGGTAGCCGTATTGGCTTCTGCATCGTGACGAACCGATTCGGGAGACGTCAAGAACTCCAGCATATCCATGGATCCTGGTTGCGTTGCTCGGGCGTCAGCGACACTACCACTGCTACGGCTTCCTGACCGTGACGGTTTATTCCGGGTGCTGCCGGATTGCGAAGGCGACGGCGGTACATTGACAGGGACCGCGACAGCTCCCTGGGGAAAGGCGGTGGGAGGTTCGACCGAAGGAGGATGAACCACATCAGCCGTGTTCGGAGTGTTGTCGTCCGTGTCTCTGATCAACTTCGGGATGAGACGAGCCACAAGGGGCTTTAGACTGGGAACACATGCGCACATGACCGACACGTTGACTTCGACAACCGACCACATGAACGAGAGAGATGCGTACCCTAGATGCGCCGTCAGTGATCCTATAAAACTCGACGGATAGGTTGGAAGTCATACAGCTAAAATCGTCGCCCGAGGCAGATTGATAATGGAGATCTTTGACCGCGATTTGACGGGATGTGGCCGCATCCTGAATGTAGGCGATCCGGATCACATCGACCACGGCCACGAAGAAACCGAAGCTGAAGGTGATAACCAGGATAATCTTCTGTTTTCGAGGTAGGCGCATCTGCGTCAAGATCGGGTTTGGGATGAACAAGATGGCTAAATCAGTAATGATGTTGACCGGCGAGGAAGAAAGGTATAAAGTGAGGATATCGATACACTGCGCGTCCGGCGGCAAAGGATACGAGTACGCAGCGTACACCGGATGACATTGAAAGACATTGACGAGAGTGAGGGCCAAGCCAGCTGCATTGACGGCAAAGAGAGTCACGTAATTGGCCCAGCGAAAGACCTTTTCGCCCTTGGTCAAGGTCAGGTAGAAGACGAGGATGGAAGTTTTGACAGCCATCAACGCAGGATTCTAGGGTATGGCATCAGCGACCGCCCGTTCGTGCATTCTAGGGACCAGATCACTCACGTAGAGGACGGTAAAGGCATAGTCGGCACGGCTGAGACCGGGTCGATTGTCGGGTGGGATATCATAGTCGTGAAGACCCAGACCCTTGCTGGTCGCGTAAAAGAGCGAGAACGAGAAGCCAAAGTCGATCAACTGAGAATGATTAGCGGCTTTCCCATGCAACCAGGAAGGCGTCGAGGACTGCGGAACGCCTCAAAGAGTGCGCGACATACCCAAGCCAGTAGCATCAGATAGTCATGCAGGCCAACCCTCCGCACGACGAAGATCCGCGACACGAATCGCAGAGCTACAAAGACAGTCGCGAGAGCGAAAAATATGATCGAGACGACCAGTACCTCTGGTCTGCGATCCGCCATGCTGGACGAACACGCACAGACCAGTTGAAGCCTGTCCTCTGGCTCTCCGGACCCAGAACCAACCCACGAAGGTTTCAGACCCGCTCAAAAGCGATCTATAGAATTAAGCTCCCAGACGGAGGATATATGTTCAAGACTCGACTGCAAAACGACCCCATTGTCACCGAATCGCAAGTTCGGAAGGGGGAAAGCGGGACGACTGGCCAGCAGTTGAGGGAATCCCGAAGACGGCGAAAAGCGTAGGGACTTAATTCTTTAGTGGTTCGCAGGTCCTAAGGAAGGGCGGAGAAGAAGCGGAAGGTGACGAAGATGTCGAGGAAAGAGTGCAAAAGAGGAATTGGACTGAGGTTGGAATGAGCAATAATAATAGATGGGATGCGAAGAGATCGGGAGATTGAGAGGTTAGGAAAATTGAAGAAAAGAAAGTTAACCAAGAGAAATGACGGGTAGAGAGAAGATTCTGGGGATGTGAGGGGGGGGAATAATAATGAGGGATTTCCTCAAGCGGAGAAAGCTGGTAGTTATTGGTAGTACTTAGTCAACTCGCAACTTTATTTGTGTGGCTCGCGTGGGTCGACAGAACCATACCTATGTATTCTGTAGAGGAATAAGTAACTGATGAAAGAGACAGTCTATATAATTGATGCTATTAATGAGATGATCATCTCGAGACAGATCGCTAGCTGTTGTTTTGCTTTTGGTGAAGAGGGAAAAACATTGGATTCTTGAACTTTGACCATCCTGACGGGGAATAGGACAATAACAATATTCCTGGGCATGCAGGGAAGGGAAAATAAAATGGAAGGGCGATCGTTGGAATGTGAGCCGCATATTTGTCATTCTTTAATGAGCATTGATCATTTCTCGTATGAATTACTCGGGAGATGTTGATAGCCAGGTACTTTTGTTATAGAGTTCTCTATCCTACCTTAAGACGGTCGACCTTATGCTAAGTACCAGAATGATGCCTGACTTCTAAGGTATTATTTATTGTCATGTCACCAAATAATAAGACGGTGATAATAATAACTTGTGGAAATATCTAAGGTACCTCTCTATACCATCGACGTAATCATGAGCCATGTCTCAGATCCTTCGACCTTCCAAAGGCTTCATCTCCAACAATCTTTTCCCAACGCTCAGAACTAGTCTACCCCGGTTATTACTCCGTACTTTCCCTCAATATCCCATGCGGCCTGTTCCCCGTCCATGGCGCTGTTGAAGTTTCACTTGTTGCGTATTATGGAACCAAACGCCTCCCTCATCGTTACTCGTCCATGATCCATCAGCCACAGGAAACCGACGAATCTGTCCCATCAAGCTAATATTAAGGTTTCCTCTGCAAGTCGAGTCCAATCTTCTTGTTTCAGGGGAAGATCATCGTTCCCCTCTTTCCATCAATCCGGATCACCACTTGGATCTGCTGCGCTTCGGAGAAAACTCCCTTGCAGATTATTGGATGATCTCTGGATACTCAGGGATAGAAGCGACATATGCAGGACTAAATGAAGGTTGACTTTCGGGTATAACTCATCATTAAGATGATGGATATGGATCGGTTTTCATCGAGTAGGTGAGTCCGCCTTGATGCCTTGGAAGCCGGGTTGGTAATCTTCAAACTCAAGGGCCAGGATTGAGTCGATTTCATTGTTAGTGATTTGGTCAATAGCATCTGATATCCTCTCATCAGCATTATCTGTGTCTCATTGGGCAAATGCCTCTGTATTTTCTGTTGATGGCGGACATTTCTCGAAGGACCGCATATCGATCGCTTCGACGATATGTTCATCCCATCACTACTCGACGACCAGGGAATTCTCCTCTCCTTCACATAGAACATCGCAGTCTAGATCGATCATCTGATTACTGTTAGTAATGAATCTGCGATGAAGATGCAGAGATCCTCGCTTAACCTCCAGATGCGACTCTAATGTGGAGACTGTCTCCTACCCCCGCATGTTGTTTTTTCATCACATGGCTGCTACGCTGCTATCAATCTCGACTTCCCAGCTTAATCGACTCTCTACCTCCGAGGGAACCAAGACTTATCGATGTAACCTTTGCGCTCTTCACAGCTATGATCTGTGCCGGATTCCGTCGGTCTGCAAAATTCTGTGGACGACTTTCTGCAGAAATGCTGCTAAACGAGGCTCCACCTGGATTGACAGCCATCTATAAGATGACGGCCTGCTCAGCTGAAATCTCTCGCCATAAGCAGGGATCCGCGCCTGGAATATTCGGGCTAACTTACTTGGAGACCTTGGATCAGAATGAGATTGACCACTTTTGTTGCTGCTCTCGCCTCACTGGCTACCATTCACGGCGCCTCTGGCGAGAACTGGGCCAACACGATTTGGGATGAAATCAAAGAGACAATCACCTGTGCTGGTTGCGAGGTCTGTTCTCAGTTACAAGTCTCGAGAAATCTGGATAGCAATTGATCTGTGACAGGGACTCTTGGGAACTCTCAAGCTGGTCGCTGGTCTCGGTCCGAATGTCTTGATCAATGTCCTGACCGATGTGTGCAAGCTGGCCAAGGTATGTCATTGTCAAGCATAGCAGATGAGACTTTGGCACCCAAAACCCTGACTGCTCTGTCAGGTGGAGGACCCCGACGTCTGTGCTGGTATCATCAGAGCCGAAGGGCCCGCCGCATATTACGTCCTTAAGCAGCTCAAAGTGGGCTCGCATACCTCGAAATCGTTCTGTTCGCAGATGGTTGGCCTCTGCGACTATCCCGAGGTTCGACCGTACAACATCTCCTTTCCCGTCCCCAAACCCTCGACGCATCGCCCCCCTCCGAGCCGCCAGCCTCCGATCCGGGTCGCGCATATTAGCGACACGCACGTGGATCGGGCCTACGAGACCGGCGCCAACTACGAATGCTCCAAGCCCATCTGCTGCCGTGCGTATACCGAGAATGACGCCCCCGGAAAGACCTTGTTCCCTTGTGGTCCGTACGGTCATCCCAAATGCGACCCGCCGCTTCGGCTCGAGGAGAGCATGATGGCCGCCATCGCCGCCATGGACCCGGCCTTTTCTATTTACACCGGGGACGTGGTCCCCCATGATGTCTGGTCCGTCAACCAGACCGAAGTACTGCACGATCTCAATGCGACATACAGCCTCCTGGACCAACTGGGTCTTGTCTACGCCGCACTGGGCAACCACGACACCGCGCCCGTCAACCTCTTCCCCTCCGAGCGCATTCCCGTCTCCCACAACCCGCAATGGGCCTACGACGCCCTCGCCGAAGACTGGACGAACCTGGTGGGCGGTCCGCTATCCGCGCCTGTCGTGCACGCGACCGACCAGTTCGGATCCTACTCGGCCATCCACCCGGGAGGCAAGCTGCGCATCATCTCATATAACAGCGTCTTCTACTACACGTACAACTTCTACGCCTACCAGGAACCGATGGAGTACGATCCGAACGGGCAACTCGCCTGGCTCATCTCCGAGCTGCAGGCCGCTGAGACGGCGGGCCAGCGCGTCTGGCTCATCGCGCACATCCCCACGGGCGGTACCGACACCCTGCACGACTACTCGCACTACCTCGACCAGATCATCCAGCGGTACGACGCCACCATCGCCGCCCTGTTCTTCGGCCACACGCACACCGACCTCTTCCAGGTCTCCTACGCCGACCCGGCGCACCCAAGCGCGGACTCCGCCTCCGCCGTCGGCTACATCACCCCCTCGCTGACCCCGACCTCGGGACCCCCGGCCTTTCGCATCTACGACATCGACCCGGTAACCTTTGCCGTGCTAGACTACACCGTCTACACCGCCAACATCTCCACCGAGACCAGCCCCGAATGGAACAAATACTACTCCGCCAAGGAAAGTTACGGCTCCCTCCTCAACCCACCCGTCACCGACCCAACCGCCGAACTCACCCCAGCCTTCTGGCACAACGTCACGGCCCTCATGGAAACCGACCCCTCCGTCTTCCAGGCGTGGTGGGCACGCACAACCCGCGGGTTCAACGTGCCCGAATGCAACGAACAGTGCGCACGTGACCAGATCTGCTCGCTGCGGGCTGCAGACGCGCAGTATGGCTGTGTGCGCGGCACCCTGTCCATTACCAAGCGCGACGACGGCCTGAACCTCGGCGGTGCTGCCCCTGCCCCTGCCCCTGGCTCGCAAGTGCACGTGCATTCCGCTCGGCCGCAGTGCGAGGAGGGCGGGCTGGCGAGGGTGTTGGCGGCCGTGATACGGGAGACGGATGACTTGCAGAAGTTGCTTTTGCAGCGGGCTGAACTGTATATCTAGTTGTTCCATTGTCTACCTATATCTAGAACTTACGGAGGATTAGTATTTAGTCTACGTACTCTACTCGGTACATACGGAGTACGGAAGGGCACGTGATCGTCAAGATTAGACATGGTGACCATGCCCCTGATGATCCATACGAGAAGGGCTGTAAAGCGACCTACGAGACCAAGGTGTTAGTCAATCTCCTCAGCCTCGCAAACCAAACCCAATTAGGCCTAAAATTCAATACTACGGGTCAGGTGAAAAAGCTGTTGCCTAAGCTGAAGAACAAACTTTTCTATCATTGTTCGTAAACGGTAAAACATAGTTCCTAATCTAAGAATAAACTGCCGTTCGTTGGATATGATGATGGGCGGAATTTCCGGATTCTCGTCCAATCGTATCGCAACCTGTTGCGCCTAGACCTCCCGTGTCTGTGTGTGTTTTTCCCGTGCCGTTGATCTGATCGTAGTCGTCGTAGAAGAAAGAATAAGGAGAACAAAGGACTGCAGTCGCCATTCCGAGCTGGCCGGAAATGAAGCGATTGCGTGCTCGGATTTGCTGCTTCCTCGCTTGTCTCATTGCAGCAAGAAGGGGAAAAAAAAGCATTTGGCTCTTGAAGAAGATGACCAACGTTTTATGAACATGAACATAAATCGATCCGCGAGGCCAACGTGGCCCATGGATTCTCTTGGTATAAAATGGTCAAAAGAGTGGAAGAAGATAAGTTTAAGAAACGGAGGAAGAGAAAATTGTCCAAAGTCCGAACATGCTACAGCCCTTTAATTCAAGGAAGCGATCAACGCTTTAGTTGAAGTACCACGACATGCCGTTGATACGGCCTGCACCGAAATCAGCCAGCTCGCCGAACAAGTGCCGGGAAGCGTCGAGATCGGTGGACTTGCAACCCATGCACTTGTCCACGGCGGTAGCAGTCTTGGTGATACCGTTGTAGGTGATGGTCACGGTCTTGCCGCAGTCAGCGTCGGTCATAATGCCCACAGGAAGCGCGACCACGTTCTCGGAAAAGCCGTCGTTGGTCATACCGCAGCTGCTGGGAGCGCTGGCGGAGGTAGCCGTGTCGTAGTACGTGAGCTGGCCAACGCAGGGGGAGTCCTTGGAGCAGGGACCACTGTATCCGCTGCTGACGGCTTTTTCAGTGCTGCCGCTGTTGCCGCTGTTAGCAGCGGGCGAGGCGGACGGGGCAGCCTGGGTAGTAGTAGAAGTGGAAGGAGTCGCAGGCTGAGGAGCCGGCTCCTCAGGGGCGGGAACAGCAGGAGCAGCAGCAGCAGCAGCGACAGAAGGCTGGGCGGGCTGAGGCTCAGGAGAGGGCTGAGGCTCAGGGGTCTCGGGCTGCGTCGAGGCCTCGATCGGCTTTGGCTGCTCGGGAGCAGGTGACGGGGTCGCGGTCGGGGTAGACTCAACGACAGGAGGAGTGGGAGCCTGCGGAGTAGGGTAGATGGTAGTGGTCACATCGACGGTGGTCCAGACGACAGTGGTGACGGTTGTCCACACCACGTCCATTTCACGCTTGTTAAGGTCGACAGGGGCGGCCGAGCTGATGGCAGCGAGAAGAGCGCTAGCGAGCGCAAGGGGCTTGAAGATGGGAGCCATTGCGAGAGTATTGATATTGAAATCCAAGTGATTCAACGCAAGTGTTCTTTTGTAGAGAAGGTGGTTTGTCGGATTTATCGACTGGGGTTTTGATAGATTGATTGAGTGAAGGAAGGAATGGGGTTCAGTCAGATAGACAGACAGAGACTGCGCAGCAGTATGAAATATCGACTGATGCTTCAAGAGAAGGCTGGAGACTGGAATGAAGGAACGACAGGAAGCTGTCAAAGGGAAGGACTGTGGTGGTAGACGAAGGGGAGAAGAGAGAGGGAAATTGGCGCGGAGGGAGGAATTCAGTATTTAAGAGAATCCACCTGGGAATGGACTAGCAAGTCGCCATGTCTTCCAGGCATCGAGAGTCGAGACTCTCCAACAGTGTCAGACTAACCAGAACAGGGTAGAGCAGGGTAATTGTTAGCCTCTCACTAAGGGACTTCCTACTAACTAAGGTAGGGTCTAAGGGTATGGCAAGTGAAAATGAGCAATAATACTCTCATTACCCACACAAAAACAATACTGATTTACTGATTGTTACCTGCGGGCCCAGTGGGTCAGTGGACCAGTGATAAAATTCATGGATACTGGCCAGCATGGGATGAACCCATGGATCACAACCTGTCTGCAATGCGTGGTGGGTTTTGCTGGACAAATCAGACTGCTTTTAAGGCTGTCTGGTCCCACCCACCCACCGTTCTCTCCCAGTGCCCCCAATCCTCTCACTGTTGAGGGTGAGATTCAGGCACCGTAGGTAATACCATGAAGTGGTTGCCAGCATTCTTGGGCCGGGCCGTTTCCCAGTAATAGGTTGCTCTGGTTTCTGGTCATACGGGGAGAGCTCGTAACCTTGGAACATCAGCCAAACTGGCCAGCTCACCAATGGTACCTGACTCTGCCGACCAACGCATCGACTGGATACTTTTTGATCTGTCGATGGCTCGATGCTCACCAGTAAGATGCCAGTATGACGTGTGATTGAGATGAAATTTCAGGCTGAGCGGGTACCTGAATTCGGAGGCGTCGGAAATCGAGAGCGATTGGCTGATTGGCTCAAAGGGAAAGTCGCCGGTGAGGCACCCCTGCTTGGTGTTAACTCTCATCAACTCTAAGCCTAATAAAGCTAGGAGTGGTGAGCATACAGGTTATGATTGGCTGATTGAGGAACTAATTCATTTCGTTCGTCGCCTCTGGTTTCCACTAACAAAGACCTCCCTTCGGTGCCTGAATCTGGATGCGCCTCAGCGTCAGCCACAATCCTTTCGCACAATAATGAAACATAGGAGGCTGTGTATGATCTTTTTTTGTTCTTGAACATGAATCCAATCTGTAACTTGCTTGATGCTGGATGACACAAGAGAGTCTTTTTCCTTACAACCCGAGCCGAGCTCTCGAAAGACAGGCCTCATCTCCACCAACAGGGTTCAGGGATACGAACCCGACCACTCGTAATGAGGCAAACAGCAGAACCAACGACGAGAAAATCCGATTCGTATCCGGCCACTTTTCGACCGTCTGACATGTGTTCTTAGGTGGTCCCCTGTGCAGACCGGGAGTACTGGTCAGGTACGAGACACTGTGCACGCCACCCAGGCACACCAGTCCAACACTGGCTGCCACTTGCCAATTGAGACAACAACGCAGCAGCAACCATCATGATTTGCGGATGTAACCGATGTACTGGGTCAAAGTTCGCAGACTCATCGTCATCCTTATTACATCTTTTCGACTGGTGGCGTCCAGAATCTAGAATCAGGACTTGACAACACAACTGTCCAATAAACTAAACTATTCAGTCCACTGGCGGGACTGTCGGACTTTGACGGGGACTGTCAATAGGCAGAACACCCTTGACACAGACGAGAAATGGTCTGATTCTCGCAGGTCTCGACTCAGATCAATGGAATATTTCATACTCGTTCAGTACATCATTCTTAGATATTTTATTGAGAATTTTTTGTCTTTTAGAGGAGGTGGGGGAGGAGGTTGTGTGTGTGTCTGTGTGTGTCTGTGAGTCTCTTTGTAGTAACTCTACCCCTCGGTCCGAAGTACACCCTACAGATCCTGACAGTGACGATATTCCATGGCGCCCCTCATCAAAGAAAACAGACAAACTCTCCACCGGATCTGTCCGTCTGTGGCAACTGTTAACAAACTGGACTGGCAAGATTCACGAGCCTTGACCTCCAGGCCGTTCATGACACAAAAATCTAGACGGTCTAGCGTCGAGTCTGGACACTTGTCCCTGCAGCTCTTAATTAAATCGACCAAGCTGCAGGATTTGCAATCCATCGGTTTTGTCTAAGTATGTAGATTGCTGTCTGAAATACGGAGTTCTAAGGTGCTAATTACGTAGGGGCCACTTGCTTGATCCATACGCGGTAGATCCAGTCTGCCCTCAGTGGCTGTTTGCACGATTGGACGCAAAATGCTTCCACTTCATATTCCAAGCATCCCATCGTTCGTTGACCCACTCCATCTACTGACACATCATTACTTAAGATATGAGGACAAAAGAGGAAAGAGTGTGTCATGGACTTAAAAAAAAAAAAATTCATTCCTATTCATCCGAGTCGAGACACGACAACATACTGCACCGTAACAATCGACCAGTTAGGATCTAAGTACACGAAAACCCTTTTTCCTCCAAACAAATAACATATGAAAAGTAACATGAAAAGTTTGCCAGTATTGCCAGAGAAGAGCCAACATAAGAAAGGGACCATCAAGCTCATAATATAAATACATCAGAAACTGTACCAAATAGAAGCGCCTCAAGCGCCTGCAATCAATTACCATAACCCACCCCGACTAGCCTTGGCACATCAGACAAGCCTCCTTGTTTTCGATGCTGCACTGAAGAACCTTTTGAGAGTAAATGTCGCTCTCACGCTCGCCGCTCTCCTGCTCATCGTCTTCCTCCTGGGAGCCATTCACCACGGTTTCACCATCTGCGGTGACGTCGGCAACAAGAGCTCGCGGGCTGCCGTCCTCACTGTGACCATTGAGCGGAGCGCTCGTTGTACGAGGAACAGCAGAGTATGTGGTGGAGACGGACCCAGCGGCTCTCTTCTTGTAGGCAGCATTGGCCCGAGCAACGTTGGTATCGGCAACCTTGAGTTGCTCCTGATCAACAGTAAACTGGATGGGAGCGGAGGCAGCCATGGTACGCAGGTAGTACATGCCAGTCTTCAGACCCATCTTCCACCCAGCAAAGTGCATACTGGTGAGCTTGCCCATGGTAGGCTCCTTCAGGTGAATGTTGAGAGACTGAGACTGGTCAATGAAAGCACCACGGTCGGCGGCCATTTGCAGGATGGTACGCTGAGAGATTTCCCACACGGTCTTGTAAAGAGCCTTGATATCGGCGGGAATGTTGGGAATGTTCTGAACGGAGCCACCATCTGCGATGATACGGTTCTTCATGTTGTCCGACCACAGACCAAGGTCGACAAGATCCTTGAGAAGCCAGGGGTTGACGACCTGGAACTCACCAGCAAGAACACGGCGAGAGTAGATGTTCGAGGTGTAAGGCTCGAAACATTCGTTGAAGCCCAGAATCTGACTGGTGCTTGCAGTGGGCATCGGTGCTACCAACAAACTGTTGCGAACACCGTGCTGGGCAATCTTCGCCTTCAGAGAATCCCAGTCCCAGAGGTCCGTGGGGGTTCTGTCCCACATGTCATACTGGAGAATACCTTGAGAAACGGGGGAGCCCTCGTAGGTTTCATAAGGACCAAACTCCTTGGCCAGCTCACACGAAGCAGTCAAAGCACCGTGATAGATGGTCTCAAAAATCTGGGTGTTTAGCTGTCTGGCCTCGGCAGAGTCGAATGGCAGACGCAGGGCAAGGAAGGCATCGGCCAAACCATTGACACCAAGAGCAATGGGGCGATGGCGCATGTTACTCTTCTTGGCCTCGGGAACAGGGTAGTAGTTGATGTCAATAATCTTGTTCAAGTTGCGGACCAAGACCTGCACAACCTCGTGCAGCTTGCCGAAGTCGTACTCTCCACGGGCCGCATCGACGAAAGTAGGAAGCGCGAGAGAAGCCAGATTGCAGACAGCAACTTCATCAGGAGCACTGTACTCAATGATCTCCGTGCAAAGATTGGAGCTGCGAATAGTTCCCAGGTTCTTCTGATTGCTCTTCTTGTTGCAGGCATCCTTGTAAAGCATGAAGGGGTTGCCAGTCTCGGTCTGAGCCTCAAGAATAGCATACCAAAGCTTTTGAGCTTTGATGGTCTTACGGCCACGGCCTTCCTTCTCGTATCTATTCAACGATTAGCACATAACCACAGGACTGTTGGCCACAGCGCAAACTCACTGTTCATAAAGAGCATCAAACTCGTCGCCATAAACATCTGCCAGGCCAGGGGCTTCATTGGGGCAGAATAGAGTCCAGTCACCGTTGGACTCAACTCGCTTCATGAACAGATCAGGGGTCCACAGAGCGTAGAACAGATCACGGGCTCTGACTTCCTCCTTACCGTGGTTCTTGCGAAGATCCAAGAACTCGAAGACATCGGCGTGCCAAGGCTCGAGGTAAATAGCAAAAGCGCCAGGGCGCTTGTTTCCTCCCTGGTCGACATATCGCGCAGTGTTGTTGAACACGCGAAGCATGGGAACAATACCGTTAGAAGAACCGTTGGTGCCACCAATGTAGGAGCCTGTGGCACGGATGCGGTGAACATTAAGGCCAATACCGCCGGCGGTCTTCGAGATCATGGCACAAGTCTTTAGGGTGTCGTAGATACCCTCGATGCTATCCTCCTTCATATCGACGAGGAAGCAAGACGCCAGCTGGGGCTGGGGAGTACCAGCATTGAACAGAGTAGGAGAAGCATGAGTGAAGTATTTCTGGGACATGAGATGGTAGGTCTCAATGGCCTTTTCGATATTGCTACCGTGAATGCCAACAGCAACACGCATTAACAAGTGCTGGGGACGCTCAGCAACCTTGCCGTTGATTCGCAGCAGGTAGGACCGCTCGAGTGTCTTGAAGCCGAAAAAGTTGTAGTTGAAATCACGATCGTATACAATAGCAGAGTTGAGCTCATCAGCATGTTTCATGACAATTTCATACGTCTCTTTCGAGATCATTGGCGCGGGCTGCCTGTTCTTGGGGTTGACATAGTGGTAGAGATCCGAGATGACCAGCGAGAACTGCTTCTTGGTTTGCTTGTGGAGGTTGGAAACGGCTATACGGGCAGCTAGGATGGCATAATCGGGGTGAGTGACGGTCATGTACGCAGCAGTCTCGGCAGCCTGTAAAATGAACGACGAATAAGCAGCTGTCTTCCATCATTTGAATGGGTTATAAGCCATACCAAGTTATCCAGCTCAACAGTGGTGACACCCTGGTAGACACCAGAGATGACCTTCTGCGTGATAGCAGCAGCATCGACGTGTTCAGGATCAAGGCCATAGCACAGTCTTGATACACGTGCAGTGATCTTGTCGAACTGTACGCGTTCTTTGCGTCCGTCTAAAGATTTCCCATGTCAGCAAGAGGTCGATGACCAGTGGCAAGAAACCAATCCGCCAGGGAGAGTTGAAAACTCCCTGTCGTGAACTAGGGTAAAGAAAGACTATGAATCTGGATCATCGAATTCTTACCTCTCTTGTAGACAAACATTGTGACTGATATTAGAGGACTCGAGGTCGAGGGTGATGAAGGAGAAAATGTGCAACGGGGTATAACGATATACAGGAGGTGAGGAAGGTACTCAAATGCTTACTGTTGAATCTAAAGGATGAAGAAATGAATGAAGGGTTCGTAATCTAAGAGAAGGATGTTGAGTAAAGGGATCGAAGGGAGACATGAGAGGAAAAGAAGTCGGAGGGGCAGAGGTATTTGATATGTCGCCAGGGCGAACGCGTACCCTCCTGAGTATTGACGCGAATTTTCGTGTTTGGACTAAATGGTATCCCCTTGAAGATACTGCATCCTTTGTAATCAATCCCAGATTTGTCAGAACTACGGTGGGCCGGGAACGCGCAGAAGCGCAGTCACGTGATTTATAGAGGGATTGCTTGTTTATTTGTGATTGATTGTGCAAGGTTCCCTTCTTGACACGGCGAAATAAGACTCGTTTTCGATGGTACTTCAACGAACCATCAGATCATGCAGGCTGAGTTTTACAGAGGACAGAAAATAATCTCTGTTTGTACAGATATATGTACTCTTCTATGAGACGGTTCAGAGTCAATCCATGACTCGAACTAGAATGGACAGAACAAAAATGAAGCAATGAAAAGCCGATTCGCAAATGTCGCAGTGCAACTGTCGATCAGATGAGCATTTCTTATAGATCACACCTCTACAGGGTCGCAGCAAAGCCGAAGAAGACGACAGCCGCAAAGGCAGCTGCGGAGACCTGTCGATCAGAAGAGCCAGCGGAGACGGTCTGGGAAGTCGACGCGGCGCTGGAGCTAGAAGTTCCGGACTTGCTCTCTCCAGAGCTAGAAGATCCAGTCGCAGTAGCAGTGACGAAACCGGTGTTAGATGCCGAGCCCTTAGTGGAAGTTCCGGTAGCAGATTTAGAGGTACTCGTAGAGGATTTGATATCTTGAGAAATGTGTCGTTAATGATGTGGCCAATTTATCATTCTGAAATCCTGCGATGCGCCTTGATGCGCCTTGGAGAACATACCAACTTTGTAGCCTGCAGCGTCGCAGGTGTCAGCGAACCACGTCAGGGCTGCTTGCTCGCTATCACCACAAATGTCCGCGATCTTTTTCTGCACATCATCGCCATTGGTAACGCACACAGCCTTGAGGTCGGCGGGATTCTTCTCAGCTCTGTTGTCGCAGGTATCAGCTAATGGTCCCTTTGCCAATACCACATTCAAGGATCGGATCAAGCGTACCCTACAACCGAGAGAAGGCAGGCAGGTGTCTGCGCAGCAGCGACAATGTTGCCCAGTGCCAAGAATGAGAGAACGAAAGTAGACTTCGAGAAGAACATTTTGATGGTTGAGCGTCGAGACTTCGAACAAAGGTAACAATACGAGTTATATGATCAGGAGTGAAGACCCGTAGAAGCAAATATGGTAAGGTGAATGAGTGACAAGATTGTAAACAAAGAGCGACTGTACGATTCTATTGAAAGAGTGTAGGTTGAGAAATATGAATCAAATGAATGTCTGCGTAAAGAGCGACAGACAACAATCAGTAGAATGGATAAAGATCTCAAAGCAGAATCATCATCAGTTGGAGAAGCAAAGCGGGAATCTTAGGGGGCAAACGACCTTCGCGGAGCGTCTTGTGTCTCAAAACAGTTATGACCCTGCCGATCGATAGTCCCTGAGCAACCTAGGTAATTTGTTGCCCAACACCAATCTTACCATACGGCACAGGTAATCCTGGATGTGGTTAGAGAGCTGCGACGCGATTGGTGGAGCATCTTGGGAAGTTAGGCTTATGTAATATATTCTATACACAGTCACCCTTACTGATACAGTGGAGGTTACCCACATGTCTTGTGCCGATTTGGTATCTGGGGTGGTGAGCGTTACTTGCTTTCATATTTCTTTTAGGAAGCAGGCCTAAATAAGTAGTCCTGATTCTCAGCACGTAAGTCATAATGCAAATTGACAGGGGCCCAGAGGCCATAAAGAGTCATCATGTGGTGGTTGTATATGGTCGGAACGCCCAAAACGAAACATGACCATTGATCTAGAACGATAGGGCAATCACCTATCCCACCGGGTATCATAGTAACTGGTAATAATCTCTTGAACGTCCATCCTGTTATCCACAATCTCCCGTCCGTTGACGAGATCGTTCTCCATCGCCCGTTTGTCCGCCTCAGCTTCATCCTTTGCGATGCCTGCTTGAACATGTCGCCGGACTAGCCTCTTCCGAGCAGTTTCAAAATCGACCTCAACGAACCACAGCTCATCCATGAGCTTTGCCGCAGAGCTCCACGGCTCCTTGTTCAAACTGAGGTAGTTTCCCTCAAAGAATATTATTCTGCTCGTCGGAGAAATGGGTATATCGTCGTCAACCGGATCCTTCACCGCATGATCGAAGCTTGGAGCGTACAATATGCTCGTTTCCGACGTTGTCGGCTCCCTCAATGCTTGCACTAGCCTCAGAAACTTCTCGCCGTCAAAGGTGAAAGCCGCACCACGTCGCGCAGCAGCGTAGTCTGGATCCGGCATTTGAGCCAGTTGTGCTCGTGTGAGGTGATAGCCATCCATAGGGATGTCCGCCGCTATGGGCGGCTGATTTGCATACTGTTCTGAGTAGAGCTGGTTGATGCGATTGGCCATAATGCTGGCAAGACCTGTCTTCCCAGAACCTGGAATGCCGCTGATAGCAATCATCAAGCGAGCATTTTCTGGTAGAGAATGGAACTTCTCTGTGGCATAGGTAGTGAGTTATATGTAGCAAAGCTTATTAATGTTTGGCATATGACATCGGAGATGGATGGGCTATCAAAAGTCAAATGCAGCTGAGTAAACTCACTCCATACTTTATCCACTAGTCTGTCTACTTGCTCCTCCATGCTGTGAAAGGTCGAGGGTCGACGCAGATTAAGATGCAACCTCGAGATCAACAGAGAGAACTTCAACAAAAAGACGGCAGGGTGAGAGCTCCCTGTATCTCGGGTATCGGAAAATGCAATGGATAGTATCCAATTGCTCTCAAAAGGTGCTTCTATGGTAAGTTCTAACAGGACACAGATGCATATATATGTCGAAATAACAATTTATCGCAGCTTAGAGAAGCTAATGTTGAGATAAATAAACGCAATCGGCGGGGCTCGGTCATTGGAGTGGGGTTCTCTCTTCGCAGCAGCGGAAACCCCAGCTACGTCACAAGAGGACTCGACGGCTTCTAACAGACATCATCGCTTATTGGGTTGCCTACAGAGACAGAAGACCAAATGAATGGGCAATTTACCTAGTCGAATTTAATCAGGGTTGCACATTATGATCGCTGATCGGTATTCGAAATTCCGAGCTTCGAGTAATGCTAAATGACCGATCTTCAACCTCCAGGAACATGAGGACTAGCCATGCACGTCTTTTTAAGGTCCCAGCGTGATTCCAGAGAATATTCAGTCACTAGTTTAGACAACACTCGGTTTTGACTGAGCAAATCACTGTTCTTTGTGTTTAAACAGCGAACCAGCAACAACTGGGGCATATGTGCACAGATATTCTGACACGATTTATAGGACCCTCAAGCAACACCCAAAGCAAAGAGCTCCGCTCACTCGAGCTATTGAAATGAAACCAACTTCGGAAACCCAGGAACGCCCATCATCCATCTCGCTGAGACCGGAAACACCCCGAGCAATTGCCCTTGATCGAGAACCAAGAAGGAATTATCATATCACAGGTCAAAAGATCAGATAAGCATTTTCATAACGGTCTAGCCGATGCATCCGTAGTTTCGGTTTCATTGGAACCGTTGTTTGTGCCAAGCCTGTGGCCAATGGCGGGAGACAGTCCGGCTGCTGCCCACCAGTCATCAGGTATGACTTCCCTACGAGCAAGTCGATCCAATATCGCTTGCATCTGCTGCAGTTCTGGATCGGTAGAAGAGTTGGAAAAGGCGAATGAAATTGTGGGAATAGGAGGATGGCTACTCATTGTTGAGTGCAAGTCAGCTGAGCGTCTGGAAGTACCCATTTGGTGCATTCGGTGACGGTTGCGACGCCACAAAGAGAGCTGATTAAAATCTCCTTCCGATGCAGAATCAGAGTCGGTGGAACTAGGATAGTCACATGGATTGATATATTCTGGGTACGGATCCAGCACCATTCGCACGTTTGCTGTACTTGAATCGAGGGAGCTAGGAAGTGTCTGAGAAAAACTTCCTGGATTTCTTGACCCCGCGCTCCCTGATGCATTCAGCCCGGATGCCGACGCTGAAGCAAACGAAGAATCGGCGCTAGGAAGATTGTCATCGGGCGTAATTGTAGTCAAAAGGGTTTCCCACGCGTCATTTGAAGCGTCATCGTCTGGACTCATGCTGCGTTGACGGTCACCAAGACCATCAACAGTCATGTCACGATGCATCGTCCGGTTGGCCTCGTTGACAGACCGCCGACCAACTCGCCTTAGCAAGGGTACAGTCGACCCAACGACCTCATAACCCTCTGGGGGGAAAGATGAAAGGCTTGGGCGCGTCTGGGGCGGCGGAGATACTCTTCTGTGGTATGCAATAGCAGGCGCAAAACTTGGCGTAAAAGCGGCAGTATGCTCTGAGCTCTGTCGGCGGCCAGAGTCAACCCCTGGCGAAAGGCGGCGATACGAGTTTGAATTAAAGGTATTGCGCGGAATCCTCAATCGCTGGCCGGGACGCCCATGGCGAAGCGCTTCGTGCAGCAAGCGCTGACCAGCCTCGCGCCTGTTGGCATCGCTGATCATGGAACTCAAATCGAACGGATCTTCACCGGAGGTAGCATTTGTGACAGGAGACCGTATGTGATGCTGTAACCCATGCGCCTCGCGCTCAATCTCGTCTACGATCTCACGAGGGAAGGGTGAACGTAACGAGGCGCCTCGTAAGGTGGAAGTACTATGACGCGATGGGCGACGAATAGTGGCCTGGCGACGGATTGCAGAACGCGCAGCGGCAGAAGGATCTTTAATGGGTTTGTTCTTGCTGGCCTCAGGAGAGGGCTCACGGTACATTCTGCGCGCGCATATCAGTAAGGGTGGCTGTCCCATGCGCCGACAGGCGACAGGCCCAGAGCGCGTTGAAAATCAGAATACTAGTCAAACTTACGGGATACCCATGACTGGAAAGTGTACGCGGATCTAGCAGATAAACCTCAGATAATCCCATCAAAACTGCCTTTTAGAAAGAAAGCCACGGCCAAGAGGTCGTGAATTATTCAGAAAGACAAGCGCGACGTTTGCGGAGGGGGGCGCAAGAATAATGATGATGGTCTGCCCTTGTACAGACAACGGAGTACAGGGTAAAGTTAGGCCCTCCGTAGTGTGGACTAATTAATGGAGAAAGCGGCAAGATCTCAGCTTTGCTCCATCAGGGAAGCAGAGGCAAAGATATTCGCGCCTGAGGCTGCGACTATGGAACGTAAGGAGGCTGGGATGTGGCGCTCGAAAACCACAGAACTGTGCGTACAATGCAGTACGGAGCACGCGGAGTTTCCCTTAGGGGAAGTTCAGCGGCTACGGAGTAAGGCCCCCTCATTTCGGGAAAATCAACTGGTGCCTCAGGACTCAGGCATCAGCTCCTTATCGCCCGGCAGTCAAATTATGTCAACCGGCCTCCGAGCCCTCAAGTCAGCCGAAATTGATCGGAAAGTTGCAAAGATCTGCACTGCTGAGCTTGAGCAGTTTCATATCGATTTCTTTTACCATATTTTGAAATCCTTGAGTCTGAGCCGACTTTGATTGACTCCATGACTGCCTAACCAGCCCGGAATCGTTCTTGATCATGAGGATTGTTTCTGATACAACTACAGACGTCACACGATCGGAGGAATGATTGAGCTCGGTCTTGGTCGCATATCTAGGCTTCTCCAACAGACTCCTCTGTCATGGAAGGCCATTCACATAGCTGGAACCAATGGCAAAGGCTCCATTAGTGCTTATTTGTCGCACATGCTGACTGCGGGTGGTGTACGCTGTGGTCGCTTTACTTCTCCTCATCTCATCGATCGATGGGACTGCATCACCATAGGTGAGAGCGTTGTGCAGGAGTCTCTTTTTCGCCAGATTGAGGAGAGAGTCAGATTAAGGGATCAGTCACTGGGAATAGGGGCAAGTGAGTTTGAGCTGCTCACTGCCACGGCATTTGAGATCTTCAATCATGAACACGTCGAGGTCGGTGTAGTCGAGGTGGGAATGGGTGGTCGCTTGGATGCTACGAATGTGCTGAGCGATGTATTGGTGTCGGTCATTGCGAAAATTGGGCTGGATCATCAGGCCTTTCTGGGCGATACGCTAGAACTAATCACCCGCGAGAAAGCCGGGATATTGAAGCCTGGTATTCCATGTGTGGTTGACGGCACCAACGCTCCCGAAGTGATTAGGACCCTTGAAGATCGTGTTAATGAGTTGAAGATCGATGCTGTCTACGCGCATCCTGATACAATATGCTCCCAGTCACCATCTCTGGGCCGTATCTTCAGGGAGCTTGATCTACAGCGTCATCAACGGGCTAATATGTGCTGTGCGGTATCAGCGCTTCGGCTCGCCCTAGCGAAGGTTCGCCCAGAGCTCGAAATGGACATGCTTCTGCCTTCCCTCAAAAACGTAGAGTGGCCAGGACGTTTGCAGAAAATCTCCCTCAGTCCTCTCACCGCCCGCAAAGAGCCTGTCTTGCTCGACGGTGCGCACAATAGCCAGTCGGCTGAGGTTCTCGGAGAGTACGTGGACAAAAATTTGCGTCCTCAGGGTAACATCACTTGGGTCATTGCCGCGTCGCGTGGGAAGGATGTGACCGCGCTCTTCCATTCGATAGTCAAATCAGGGGATAAGATCGCTATCACGGCATTCGGTCCTGTCGATGGAATGCCATGGGTGAAAGCAGCGGATACAGAAGAATTGGCTCTCTGTATTCAATCAATTCCAGGTGTCCAAGACGTACGTACATTTGGCGAGGACGTTCTTGCTGCCATCAACTGGGCTTGTACCGAGGCTGGCGAGTGCCCCTTGGTAATTGCAGGGAGCCTGTACCTTGTATCAGACGTTCACCGTCTCTTGCGTGAGGCGCGCAAAAGTGCTGGAAATATACCGGGGTCATTAGAAGCATAATAATTTGAGATACCCTTTTTAGAGCAGCGTTTGGAAATATTACCATGTCATGCAGATAGACCAGTCGATCATCATGCTCAAAGAGCGAGAAGACTTCATTGCGAAGGCGTTTTGGGCATAGGAAGACAATGCAAACGACAAAGGAGATTAGTCCCTCACTTGTAACGATGGTTAGCTTGAGCAGGATACCACTGATATCGTTAGGTCGTCAAGATCGTAAGACCGGCTCTGATAAGGCTGATCGGAGATACTGAAGGAGCCGGTCGCTGCGTCATGGTCCGTACGGGAGCTGACCCTTGTGGAGAAGCAAAAGTTCAAAACATTGCTTTTTACTTTTTCTGCAACAGCGAACACAGCAGTAAGTATGACTTTCCTGGTCCATCATGAGCTTATTCTTCTACGATAAGTTCAACTAATAAGAAGACAAACTTAGCATTTCAGAAGCAGGCCTCTGATGTGCATGTGTAGGGACGCGTGTATGCTCAGCGCATGTCGATGACCGTGAGAGCAAGAAGGGCCCCTGTATGTTTCTTAAACTTCTCATCATGCCATTTTGATGACGAACGGTTTTTTTCTGACACATTCTTCTCCCTGTACCAGCTATATTACTTTACTAACAGTCTTCTTCCCATGGCAGAGCGTGCTGACATGACTGATCCGACCAACCCCTGGCTCCTGCCTTTTCTTTATCGATCATTTTCCATCTGAGACCACCTGGTCCGAGACAACTGCGGAGACTAGCGACTCAATACAAAGGGGGCACCTACCTCTGAATTCTCCGGCAATGGTCTCTAGATCTAGTGAGGGGAATGAGGGGCCCCCTCCGTCCTCGAGGACTCCTGGAACTCCAGCCAAAGCGCGAGTCGCCAAACTCGGATCCAGCCCCTCGAAACGGGACGAAAAATCCGGCGAGGGCAGAGTGGTAAAGTCATCTGCGAAAGATGTCGCCGAGCTCAAAGATTATGTACGTATATGGCACTTGTATGTGTACTCAATCGTTGAGTTGCTAACGCTGGCACGTTGAAGCAATTGGGCGACTGTTTGGGTAGAGGCGCATTCGGTTCAGTGTATAGGGCGCTAAACTGGAACACCGGGGAGACTGTTGCTGTGAAGCAGATCAAGTTGGCCGACCTCCCGAAAAGCGAATTACGAGTTATAATGGTATGGCATTTGGATCCGACGGTCTGTTACGAGGGACGCCGTACTGACGATATATGCTCTTGCAGTTGGAAATCGACCTTTTGAAGAACCTAGATGTGAGACCCAGGCGCAAACAAACACAGCCGTTCCATGGAGCTGACTGAATGGCCGCAGCATCCTAATATCGTCAAGTACCATGGTTTCGTCAAGTCTGCTGAAACCTTAAACATTATCTTGGAGTAAGTCTCTTGTCCATCGAACAAATAAATATCGAAGGTGCTAACAAACGTAGGTATTGTGAGAATGGCTCCTTGCACTCCATCTCCAAGAACTTCGGTCGCTTTCCCGAAAATTTGGTCGGGTTATACATGTCGCAAGTTCTCCATGGGCTTTTATATCTGCACGAACAGGGTGTCATTCATAGAGATATTAAAGGCGCAAACATCCTCACGACAAAGGAGGGACTCGTCAAACTTGCAGACTTCGGTGTCGCCAGCCGCACTACTGGACTGAGCGAATCGAGCGTCGTTGGTACGCCGTACTGGATGGCTCCCGAGGTGATTGAACTTTCAGGCGCAACTACAGCCTCAGATATCTGGAGTCTCGGGTGTACGGTCATCGAATTGCTTGAAGGAAAACCTCCCTACTACAATCTTCAGCCCATGCCGGCGCTGTTCCGTATTGTTAATGATGACCATCCTCCTCTTCCACAAGGCGCCTCCCCGGTAAGTCCTTTGTCCCCTGTCGATTAGGCCTCCTTTCTAATGACGATACTAGGCAGTCAAAGACTTCCTGATGCAATGCTTCCAGAAAGATCCTAATCTTCGTGTCTCTGCAAGAAAGCTCCTGAAACACCCTTGGATCGTGAATGCTCGTAGATCGGACTCAGTGGTGCCGAAGAAGTCTACGGAGTATGAAGAAGCGGTCAGAAGCGTCCAAGAATGGAACGAGGCTCTGCGGTCTCCTGGTGCGGGAACTTTACGGAAGCCATTCAGACACGATCATCAGACTCCAAGTCCGCTTCGTCGCAATCAGCCGCCGTCTCGAAACACCCCCACTAAAGACGCCCTTCCAGCCCCCGTTGTCAGCAATGCCAAAGATCAATCCCTGTTGTCGAACGCAACTGCCGAAGATAATTGGGACGATGACTTTGCAACTGCCATTTCTCCTAGTGCGCTGCAGCTACCACATCTTCGACCGCATGATAATTTCGGAGGAATGCTTTCCTCTGAGAAGCTCAAGGCATTTGCCTCACTAGATGGGACGGTTGTCAAATCCGAGGATAGTTTTGAAGACTTCAACGACTCGTTTCGGACTACTTTGCACTGCGGAGAGTCGGATCCTCTGCAGACTATCCGACCTTTTCCATTCAGGCAGACCGGCGCGGACGATGGATTCGCCCAAAATTCGCCGCTCCAGATGGAGTCCAAAAGGTCTACTCCTTTCGTACATAACGTCCCAAATCTGACGCAGAATCCTGTTCCACCTTCGAGACAGTCTCGTCCAGCCTCATTTTACAAGGAGAACTCAGTAGAGGATTATTCTGATCTCATAATAACTGACGAAGACGTTCTAGGCCGAAAACTCAACATTGTGAAAGTAAGCATGGAGGCCAATATTGATCCGAATGTTGATGATTGTTTGTCTGACCAGTTTCAGGAGACCGATGAAGATCAATATCCCTCGAATTTCGCAGACCTTCCGCCGTCAAAGGAGATAGTCCGATATCAAACACCCTCTCAGGATGACGAGCAGGAACCCCAATTACGGAGGCAGCTCTCAACCAAGCGTCATAGATCAGCGGTAGAAATTCACAGATTTGCCGAGAACGAGAGAGACGAAGACTTCTCTGATATCTTGGGGGCTGAGGAGGTGGCCCTAGACAAGCCGGACAGCGATGGTAGCTCGGATAGAAGCACCTTGATGCTCAATTCACGACACTCAAACAATTCTTGGCTCGGAGACCAAGACGACGAAGATGATCCATTCGCCCAGTTAGAGGAAGGGCTCGATGAAATGGACTTGGAAGCCAACATTGCGCGCGATAAGTATGCTAGACTCCGTGGTCAAGTCGAAGGGCTAGTGAGCTCTTTGAAGACCTCTCAAGATGAAGACGTACTTGAGGATATCTCAGAGCAATTGTTGACGATATTCTGTGATCTTCCGGAAACGAAAAATATCATTATGAGCGCCCACGGCATGCTACCGATACTAGAGATTCTTGATACATGCCGCCGACGCGACGTCGTCTCATGTCTCCTGAAAATTGTTAATGCAATTATCTATGAGGATTACGAGATTCAAGAGAACTTGTGTTTCGTTGGGGGAATCCCAATCATCAATGAATTCGCTTCGAAGAAGTACCCGCGCGAGATCCGACTGGAGGCAGCTGCTTTTGTACAGCAGATGTATCAAACTTCTACCCTGACCCTTCAGATGTTTGTCAGCGCCGGAGGGTTGAATGTTCTTGTGGAATTTTTGGAGGACGATTATGAGGATGAACGAGATCTGGTCCTTATAGGCGTCAATGGAATTTGGAGCGTCTTTGAGCTGCAAGTAAGTCCAGTTCATCACAGACTCTATGCAGTCAACATCTGACACTGGCAAGGGATCAACGCCAAAGAATGATTTCTGCAGAATTCTGTCTCGCAGTTCGGTCCTAGACCCTCTTTCACTCGTATTGAGCCGAGTATTGGACGAAGGTGGAGAACTCGCCGAAATAGTCGAGGGACGCATTGCCAGCATCTTCTTCGTCTTCTCTCAGGCTGAAAATCATGTGAAGGAGATGGTTGCCGAACGAACTGTTTTGCACAGTAAGTTTGGATACTTGCCTCGCGAGATCATAGCTTTCTGACTCCAAATACTTAGGGGTGCTGAAGGAACTGAAGCGCATGACTCCTGCTCATCAAATTACCATGTTGAAGTTTATCAAGAACTTGTCCATGCTGTCAACTACACTTGACTCTCTGCAGAACTCAAACGCCATTGACGTGCTGACTGATCTTTTGCGGTCAACCATCAAACGGCCACACTTCCGAGAAGTCTCCAACCAGATCCTGAATACAATCTACAACATGTGTCGTCTAAATAAGTCCCGGCAAGAGGACGCTGCGTTGAACGGTATCGTGCCGCTGCTCCAAAAGATTGTTAAGACTGAGCGACCCTTAAAGGAATTCGCTTTACCAATCCTCTGCGACATGGCACATTCCGGAAAAGTTGGCCGTCGTGAGCTATGGCGCAATAGAGGATTGCCTTTCTATATATCCCTGCTTTCCGACCCTTACTGGCAGGTCACTGCCTTGGATGCCATCTTTACCTGGTAAGCTCATTGTGCCTTTCGGCAGACGTGGCTTAAACTGATCTCCGTAGGCTACAGGAAGAAACGGCGAAGGTCGAGGAGCACTTGCTCAGTTACCACCCCGATCAGCCATCATTCACAGAGTCCATTATCAGATGCTTAACAGTCTCGAAGGCTAATGCTTTTGAGAATCTCCTCGAACCGCTTCAAAAGCTCCTTAGGCTGAGCCCTCCCATAGCATTGACATTCGCCCGGGAAGACATGTTTGTCCGGATCAGGCAAAAATTGCATCACAACAAAGCTGCTGTTCGCTTGAACCTTCTGCGAATCATATCCAGTATCTGTGAGGCCAGCGAAGACCAAGGTGGTCTTCTGGCAGAGTATGGCCTTCTTGAAGCAATCAGAGAACTGGAGCATGATCCGGCTATCCTCGTTCGGGACATGGCTGGAAAACTCATTCAGGCTAATGAGAGAAGCGAATCCTATGGATTAGGGAAGCGCAGGCCAGGTGTGAGGCGAGGAAGTACAGCTACTACTCCGCCGGGTCTTTTGACAAACCAGTCTGCTCCGAGTACTCCTTCGATGCCTCGCACAAGTCAGTCGAAAAGCTACTTCGATGGACGCGAGGTCCAGAGGCACCCGCGAAATGCTCTCAGTGGGTCAGCGCTGGCGCTGCGGCCTGCTAGTAGAGATGGTGCAAGTCCCGCTCTTGCCGTAGGTGCAAGCAAGGGCTCCAATGCCTCAAGCGCTTCCAGAAATCGGCTACCGCGTGGGATGTCTAGCAATAGACTGTCCCACGTCGAACTTCTACCTGAGGAAGACAGCAGGTCGCAGAGCTCATTGTCACGTCGACCCTCCATCCTCCCGCGACGCCGGCGTCAAACACATGCTGATGGTGACTGGTGACTTTGGCATGGTCTGCACTCGCTTTCCCTTCTTCTACCTCTGTCCCCTTTGCTTCGACACCGCTTGGCATTTTAGCTCTCAATCGAGAGTTTCTAGATTTCCACAGCCTTTCATCCAAATGCATTGCATCATATGGGCGTCCCTGAAGATTCTTCGTGTTCTACCTGGTCTGCAATGAGCTAACATTGTTATCAGTCTTCCTTGGCGCATTTCATGTATAGTAATTGAATGGGATTAGTCGAACTGTTGAATAATATAAAAATGGCGTTTCTCTCATTCGGAGTCCGTATATCTGGATATCTTAGGATGTTTTAAGTCGTGTGCTAGGTTTGCTGCAATGGGATACCGAGTGCCATACGATGTGCAGGAAGCAATCTGTACTAGATCGCCAGTACACTACGAATGGCGTATGAGATCATGAACAGTTAGGTTATTTCTCCGAGTTCGTTGAACTAAGAAAGATTTGATCTATGAACAGCCTGTGACGCTCAGTCTTCCATATCTGCACTTACAGATCACGTGTAACATACTTCGGGCCGACAGCGGGCGAGAAAAATTCCCGAATTGCGGCGACAACCGCCACCTAAGATTCCTCCTGGCAGAATTTGTGTTCTATACAATGAAATGACCGTGTACAAACGGAGTGTACTTTTGGGATTCGAGGTTACGAGTGATCTATGGTCGTCTAGTTCACGGTGCTGATTGTTTTCGGTATGAGAGCGGCGCTCCGCAACCCATTGCGGGCATCGGATTTTGATCCAGCGGCATTGTTCAGATACAATCCGAATAGGTTCTTCTTGAGCCAATCTTCAAAGCGCAACCATTCGTCTGCGTCTTCTCTGCGGTCCCCGATCTTCTTTCAAACTCCATTAAGAGGCACATGTCAGCATCATTCACACGCACGACCGTCATTCCGCACATGTCCGTCTTCGCGATATTATTCTACAAAATCACCCACCTTGCCGGAGGAGGTCGAGTCTCGGGACAATAGATCGGACCATTCAAGTTCACAGGAGTCGCGGACGAGGATCCTAAAGTATGCAATCATCGCTGGTGTCGCCGGCGCTGCAGCGGTGACCTTATCGGACGATGCACAACATATATATCGCGCTGCGCAGCGCACAGGCCGAGTTGTGGGGACTCTGGCTGTCTGTATCAACGAGTAAGACCTGGCTTCTTGCATCTCAGACTATTGGCGTGTCACTTACATGAGCTTTCCTAGTTACCGAGTCACCCTCAAGCAAGAGACTCCTACAGAAGAAGAACGACAAGAGTCCATCCGAGCATGTCACAAGCGTTGCGCAGAACGAACCCTACGAGTTCTCGAGAAGAATGGGTCTATCTTTATAAAGTTGGGCCAGCATCTCAGTAGCATGGGCTATCTTCTTCCGTTGGAATGGACGACGACCTTCGTCCCTCTTCAAGACAAGTGTCCCGTCTCATCTATCGAATCCGTCGAGGAAATGTTCGTTACCGACACAGGCCATCGCATCGATGAATTGTTTTCGAGTTTCGAGCCATTGCCCATTGGCGCCGCGTCTCTCGCCCAGGTCCACATTGGTACGCTGAAGGAAACTGGTCAGAAGGTTGCTGTTAAAGTGCAGCATCCTGCATTGGCCGAATGGGTGCCTTTGGACTTGGCATTGACACGGTTTACTTTCTCGATGCTGAAGCGATTCTTCCCCGAATATGATCTAGAGTGGCTCTCGAATGAAATGGATTTCTCGCTACCTCAGGAATTGGATTTCCGCATGGAGGCAGAGAATGCCAGGAGGGCTAGTGAGTACTTCAAAAAGCACTCGGATGCTCCTTTAGTCATTCCGGAAGGTTTGTTGTCGACTATAATTGTGAAACAGAAGTTCAGTGGCTTTGCTAACGCCTCAATCAGTCATGTGGGCGCAGAAGCGAATTCTGGTTATGGAGTTCCTCTCAGGCCATCGTCCGGATGATCTCGAATATTTGGACTCCAACCATATTGACCGCGACGAGGTCTCCGCCGCGTTCGCGCATATCTTCAACGAGATGATCTTCGGAGACAATGCCCCGTTACACTGCGACCCTCATGGCGGTAATATTGCCATTCGCAAGAACCCCAACCGACGCCGTCACAACTTCGATATCATCCTCTACGACCATGGCCTATACCGCGACATTCCACGCGACTTGCGTCGTAGCTATGCTAAGCTCTGGCTGGCGGTTATCGAGGCGGATGAAGGCCGCATGCGCGAGTATGCGCGCAAGGTCGCAGGTATCACGGACGAGCAATTTCCCCTGTTTGCGAGCGCAATCACCGGACGAGATTACACCGTGCTAGCCAAAAAGGATGTCGCTTCTCCGCGCACGGCTGCCGAAAAGGAGAACATCTCCGGTGCGCTCGGGGAGGGCATGCTGCAACAGCTTGTTGAGCTGCTCGGCCAGGTACCCCGGATCATCCTTTTGATTCTGAAGACAAACGATCTAAGTAAGTTATACTCGCTCGCAATGCGCTCGTTTCCATCTTTTTGTTTTCATCTCGAATTCCCAGCTAACATCGCCTGCTCCCCACCTTCAGCCCGCAGTCTTGACGAAAATCTACATACCCGACAGGGACCCGTACGCACATTCCTTATCCTAGCCCGCTACGCCACTCGTACCGTCTTCGAAGAGAAGATGGAGAACATCAACGAGACCGGCGGCATCCTCCGCCCACTCAACTTCTTGCAGTTCCTCTGGGCCTGGACAGGCTATCTCCGGGTTGAACTGAAACTCTCCGTCTACGAGACTCTGCTGTCTATGAAAAGTCGGCTTGGGTTGATCGGATAGAAGAGCGGCCAGCTCTTCTACATACCGTTCGATTTTCTCCAGACCGACGTCCTTGTAACACTGTACAATCTTCTTTCAATCTTCATCATCTAGACACGACGGATCGGATGGGTTCGGTCTGTCTGTGCATCATCAGCGACGGCGTTTTTCGTTTCTTTTCTTTTCCCCCTCTTCTGTTTTCTCCACATGTATAGAGATTTGTACAAAGATTTCTTTTGTAAGCCTAGACATCTTTCATTTACATAGATCGAATATCTGTTCACTTCAGCCTGATACCTCATAATTTAATGCGATACCTTGCTTAGAGGACGGCTCCAGGGCATGCCGAGGACGAGTTTACTTACAGCCCTGTTGAAACTAAAGTAGCGTACGAAAACTACGTGATAATGCCTTTGAAATGGAATCATATCTCACAGTGATGCACATTCTTATTGACGAACCTATGACTGAACAAGATTCATGATCATGATGCCATGTTCCAAGGCACAAAGTAAAAAGCATGGAGAAATGAGAAACGAAAAATATACATAGACAAACAATTCAACCCGTCAGTTGAATTCAATGAAGCAACGCATGCTTTAATGATTCAAGCAATCTGCAGTCTCGGTACGCCAGTCAATCGAACAAATAAACCCTAACAGATCTCATCTGGTATCGCCGTAATAGTGTTTGATGAATATATGGTTACTTTTCATGCACAAGCGGATCACAGACTCGCGGTGCTACCGTCGGTCTTTTCCACGTTGGGAATGGAAGCCGCAGTGCCAGAAAGATCAGTCTTAGCGGCCTTCGGGTTCTTGGTGTAGTAGTCGTTGATGGCGGACTTGATGGCGTCCTCAGCAAGCATGGAGCAATGTAACTTGACAGGGGGCAGGCAAAGTTCCTTGGCAATGTCGGTGTTCCGGATCTTAGCGGCCTCGTCAAGCGTCATTCCTCGCACCAACTCGGTCAGGTAGCTGGAGCTGGCGATCGCGCTACCACAGCCAAAAGTCTTGAACTTGACGTCGGTGATCTTGCTGGTGTCCTTATCGACTCGGATCTGGAGCTTCATAACGTCACCGCAAGCAGGTGCACCGACCAGACCGAGACCGACATCAGGAGCATCCTTGGGTAGTGAGCCAACTACAAATATGTCAGTTCCTGAAGAAGCATGTACATGGTTGATCAAGAGCTTGAAGAATGCTGAGACTTGAGATCCTCCTCGAGCGCATAGGAGACAGATGGAAGCCGATTGGTCATAACGGTCTTCTCGTACAGCGTTGTATAGTGACTGATTCTTTCGGATAGTCGAAGTCCAGAATTCGATCAGAGTGTCCTCCCTGGTGTAGAAGACCGCGTATAGGATCCGTCTTCGTTTGATGAGACTTCGCCCCGCGGTCTTGACAGGAGTCTTCTTGAAACGAGAAAGACCACGGCTGATGATTCATCTGTCTCCCATTGACGCTTCGAGGAAAAAGAGGAAAAGAAAGTAGCATATCAAGATTGCAAACATACCGTTGCGTGGGTTGTTGTAATGATCTAGCAGTGCAAATAAGGTCAGCATTTGACTGGTCATCCCAGACTGATCGATATACTTATCTTTCTCGTGATAACTTCTCCTCTGAGGAGCAGGAGACGCCCTAGTGATAGGTTGAGTCTGGATGCCGGAAATGGCCGGCGTAATGCGAGGCGACACAACAGTGCCGACTGAGCGAGGGGCGACAGTAGCCAAACGGCGGAACATGGTTGATGGATGTGTGATTGACTTCCGTATAGCTAGCGATTTAAAAAGTGATGCGTGGTTGGATTTATGATGAGGCAAAAAAGAGAAAGCTGATGGAGTATGATGATGTACCCGAGGTTGTGATGTCGACGAAAGATCGATTAATTATTCTTCGGGGGCTCGCCTGTGCTTTATATGCGCTAAACCAAAACCAGCAACACCATCGCCTCCGCTCCGTCCGGCCTCGGAGATAACTACACTATGACGTTCGGGGGTGTTCGCCATCAATTGTTTTAACCAGAATAGGCACTAAAATGCCGACTCCAAGAGCTGATTAATTCGTATTGAACATCAAATCAGGGCTGGCCCTTATTTACAGTTGGTCCACCGATCCAATTTGCGGTACTGTTTTCTACGATGGTGTTCTGAGGCGATTCTAGCTTGACGCGGAACTGATTGATTACCCCCGCGATACCGTGGCTGGGAATTTGCAGCCAACAGGGGCCTGTATTTGTGGTACTGGTTAACGTAATCAGTTTGCTTATCTTCCTGCCCTCCATCTGATAAAGGAGCTCGGGGATACTGTTACGCCGTATCCGCCCACCTTCACTCCACCAAGATCTGCCTTGGAGACATTGAATGGAAGCTGTCAAGACGGATTGAAGTCATCTTACCATGACTCAAAAAGGAGGAACGGGAAAACCCTTGGGGAGGACACCCGGAGTAAGTGCAACCTATTGAATAGCCTTCCAGCGCTGTCACAGCCCTGTCTCACAAGTGGCATTCTATTGCCCCGAAGTAACAACAAAGTAGTCTCTCAATGCTCCAATAGCTGCCTTTACCATGGCAATCATTCTATGCTCCTACTGCATCAGTTCGATCAACTCCGCTCGCCGCGAAGCACAATCGTCCCCAGTCACCGCGACTACAAGGGTCCAGAAGTTCTCCGTGGAAAAGTCTGACCAATCATGGGTACAGCAGGCATTAGAAGAGAGCAGAGATGCAGAGCGGCAAAATCGGTCGAGGTAGTCTTGCGTTGGATTTGTACGATAGCAGAGGCTTGAGATTGACTGAGTTAAAAAAGGAGTCCAAGAAAGAATGCTCATGATTGTTGCGGCTTGGACTAAGATAATGCATTATGCACTAAAATTTTTGAGGTAACCTTTCCACACAATGCGTCGTTGTCAAGTTCATCTCTCGAAGTCCATGATCAGAATTTTCAGTGTATGTGAATAGTCATATCCAGAGGGTATTGTAATCTGGATCTACCATTTCATTTGAATGTTCATCATATCAAAGGAAAGTCGAGGATAACTTGGGAACTCATGCCCTCCTTGCAAGACAGCATACGGAGATTGAATCTGCATTGATGACCTCATTAAGGTTTAAAATAACAGCTCTGATGATAATAAGCAATGCAGCGGTGCCCCTTCATCAAAGGCAGGCCTTGCATGAAATTTTCGCTGTCATAAGGCATGTTGTTGTTTCTGAGACGGAGGGAAAATTGCTCAAAAATTGAAAAATCAATATGGAGTAATCTGTCGCTTATTTGATCACGTGATTTAAAGTGACATCATCTCGCGGTACCTGAACAAAAACAAACACTTCAGAGAGGTACGGAGTAGAGACATCATTTTGGTGTTTTGAGGGCGATCTACTGAGTCTGTGTATCGGAAACATTGCTCAATGTTTAGTATTATCTGCTTGGTGACGGTATCTTCGAGGACTTGAGAACGTCGATATGGTTTGAATAAAAATGTATGTCTGTATGTACAAAGATGCAGGTCATGCAACGCAACCGTCAAGGGGGAAATAAACGACAATGTGACAACAAAGACCGCTTTGTAAGATACATATTCTGCAAAGCATGATGAACATATATCAGTGAGTTCATAAGTCCTACAAATGTCGTAGCGATGACCATGCTCTTAGGCCTTTTCCTGGAGTGAGCTGAGCGTAGGACAGCCGAGTGATCGCCCATTGCTCCAGGGTACCGATTATAGTGTGGTCAAAGCTGTAGACGGATGAGTACATATTCAGCTCAACTGCCCACCTAGCGAGAATGGAAAGTCCGTAAGTCAACCTCTAGGGGTTTCAAGATCGCATTGTTCAACCGAAACAGGAAAAGAACAAGACACGTCTAGTATGCGCCATTCGCTGCTTATTTACTCATCCTGCTGCAGTATGGCTCTTTCTCTATCATTTGCCATACGCAACTTCATTTCTCCCTCATGTTGCAAGTGACCGATCAGCTTACGGAGATACTCGTATGTAAGCATTGTGGTCATGGCAGCCGGCACAGCCCGGAATAGATTCACCCCGATGCCGGAGTAGAATGCGCGCCAGCCTTCTTCCCTCAGAATGGTCTGACATGTACGGAGCACGCCCGTATACCGCGGGCGGTTGGGCATGCCGTCCGATGAAGCCGCTCCTGGAGGCCTCCCGCGGTCTTGTGGGTGATCTAACCCTCCACGAAATGAGATCCCTTCGGGAGAAGGCGCTGGAGATGTTCTTTGCTGCGTCTGAAGTCTTGTCCGTAGCACTTCATGCGGGTAGGTTAAAGTGCTGGCACAGACTTTGCTTAAAAATGTCGCACAAGATATGCCAATCCAGTGGGAGCCACCGTTATCAGGATGTTCCCCTATCCCGTACCCCGTAAAGGCCATCTTCAAGTATTCGTATAGCGGGAATTGAATGGCGACGTGCGTTAAGCCGAGTAACGCCGGGGTCAGTCCGGAATAAAATGACCTAATCCCTTCCGTCCTGTACATTTTGCGGGCTGCATCCCAAGTGCTTGAGTACTGCCATGGAGCCGTGTAGCCTTCACTGTTGGACTTGAGGCTTTGTGACATAAGCCGCGTTTTAATGACCCAGATTGGATTAGTCACTATAGTAGAGCAAGCACCTGCTGTTATTGACGCATAGCCTCTGGAAAGCCACCAGCTATCTGTTGACGTGACGCGGATTATTAGTCTTTACATTCTACCTTCAGAGAAAGGAACACCGCAGAGATACTTACCGGTGGTTTCGTAGAAGTATTCTCGAGATCGGTCATAGACAGCCAAATATACGGCCCAGGTAGGCAGATATCCCAAGAGCATGGGACCCAATCCTTGATATAGACCCCGAATTCCATCTTGCCGCCATATGATCCGCCCGGTACCTAGCATACCACGATAAAGGGTTTTCGCCTCAACGACTCCGCCGCCTCGTCGGAGAAATCCGCCCTGCGCCTGCAGCTTCGTCTTGATCACATCAAGGGGGCATGTGACAATCCCAGAGGCCACACCCGCACTGGCGCCGCAGAATGGCGCAATGTAGTAATCCGGTATCTTTGTGGACCATATCTCAAGATTTGTGACGAACTTGGAGCTGGACCGAGCTTCAGGTGGAACTTGAATGTCTGATGACGCAAGGTCGTTTGAGTGCGATATCTGCTGCTCCTCAGAGCTACTGGCGGCTCCTGAATTGCCGTGACCGTCGGAAAACATCGCTCCGGTCCGCTTCCCTAGCAGCTTTCTCTGTCCGTCTTTGCAATCAACGAGGGCTCCCGGAACCGAGCATGTCGGTGCTCGCTCCGGAACCCAGTAAACCCTATTCTAACCAGGTCTCGACGTAAATATTTCTTCGTCAATTAGAGCGGTAGCAGGAAGCGACACAGTCTGGCGTAGCGGCTGAAGGAATAAGTGTAACTGAGCTGATGTTGGCGAATGCGCTGATATGCCTAGAATTTTGTCTATTCGGAGGTGCAGACGGGGCGGGGCCGGTAGCAGTGACAGCTCCAGTATAGGAGAAAAATGCAACTCAACGGATGATGAACCCCATACCAAAACCGGCAAGCGATACCGGGTTTAAATATGTAAATGATAGGAAGTCTGAGCGATGGGAAGGTTGGAATACAAGGCGAGAACCGGGCCGCACGGATGATTGTGGCCAAGATCAATCAACGTACCTCTTTCGGCAGTCATGTGGAGTGGAATGACTTAGCTACTGAATTCATTCCGGTCCCAAGCGCCAGGGCTACAGCCTGAGGCATGATAGTCACATGACATTGATCGGAATCCTCATAGCCATATTAGATGCCTCAGGCTGCAAACTCGGATGTTTTTGGGAAAGTCATCCCGGCCGGACCTCCGTTTTGCACAATCTCCAACGTCGGGTCACTCTTTGCAGCTTGACTGACCTTCGCGCTCTTCCCTCCCACACCACGCCCTCAATTGGATTCCCGTCCACATCCATCTGAGATCAGTCACCATGTCCGCTCCTTCTCTCACCAACTACATTGTCAAGCGCCCGTGGCTCAAGCGCTGGATGATGCCACTTGCCCAGTGGTACACCGACGCTGCCGGCTACAGGAAACTCGGATTGAGGTAGCCAACCCCCGCCTTCAACCCTCCCAAGACGAGCGCCAGATGAGCATGTTATGCTACAGCGACGTGATTGAACTTTACCGCTGCTATACGACGTCCGGTTGTGCATGATTTGTCTCTGGTCGCTTATCTGGGACAAATGTTACTCCTGACCTGTTTGTGCAAGCAGTCAAGCTGATTATTCTCAGATTCGATGACCTGATTCCCGAAGAGAGCGACGTTGTTCAGACTGCCATTAAGCGTCTTCCTCCCAAGGAAGCCTACGACCGCGTCTTCCGTATCCGCAGAGCTTTCCAGGTGCGTCTCCGTCTAGATCGCTGGAAGACATCAACGCTAATCTGCCTCGTCAACACAGTGCTCCGTTTCCCACACACTCCTTCCCGCTCATGAGCACACTAAGCCCGAGGAGGTGAGTCGATTTCGCATTCCATATCTACTCCGGCCTCGTCAATTCCCCGCATAAAGTATTGGCCAATCCCGTAACGCGGATTTGTCAACTGGCTTATATCGGGTTTATCACACTTTCCGGTCTCGAAATGCGTCCAGAAAGCACTTGTGGTTATATAAAGCAGCACCATGGATGCTAATTTTGCTTTCTAGGACGTCGAGTACCTGAGCCCTATCATCCGTGAGATCGAGAGGGAGAACAAGGAGCGTGTGGACCTCGACACCCTCGTTGTTAGACGGTAGATGGCTTGATCCCTAGTCATAACGCATAGAGGACACGGAATCGTGTCACTAGGGTAATAGACGGACGGAAAAATAACGAGGAAGGGGTTGTACGATTTAGCGGCTGTGCTTTGCCTACGAGCCTGCGGCTGAATTCTGATTGAACTTCGGATTTATCGCTCAAGTCATGTGTACTGTTACTGTACAAATTCATCGTCATTTTTTCTGATCGTCCGCTTGTCATGCAATCCACCACTGCAGAGGTGATGCATGTGTGCTCATCCCGGGTGGTGAAGACTGGGGCTAGTTCGACCTTCCAATTGTATAATTCTGAGTTTGTATTGGTCAGATTGTACCGATACTTTTCTGCGTATTCAACGCAGTACTGCCGTTTAAATTGAGCAGTGTCATCTTCTTCAGCGCGATTTATATGATCAAATTTGAGTAGTGACTATATATACTCGAGGAATGTCGCATGTGGGCCTCTCAAGCGTTCATTACAGTGACATCAACATCCTCTACACGCCACATGTACCACATGAAAAGGCTCCTGCGATGCTAACGTGAGAAAAATTCCTATGACCCAGCTTTGCTGAAGTAAGTGAAGAAATTGAGATACCAACTTACCTGTACGGGGCGAACTTCGCAGCCAGTTCCAGCATGTCTTTCTCAGCCATATACTTGAACTTACCGCCTCCTTTAGCCTTCAACTTACTCACGTCTTTTCCCATGAACGCCGCGCAGCCTCTCCTGTTACCATCATTAGCGGGTTATGCTTGCCAGGAGTAGTCGAACGCATATTGCTGCGCTGAGGTTCGGCATGGTTGATGATTAACTTACTGCACGCCGAGATCCCCAGTGGAAAAGACGTCAATGCGCTTTAACGCAAAGCAGGCAAACATCTCAACGGACCATCTGCCTAGCCCTCGGACGGCAGTCAACTTCTCCATGAGCTCTTCGTCACTGGCATTGAGCAGCATTCTCGCACTGAGTTCCCCGGAAGCGAATTTCTGGGATAGCCCGTGAATATATTCGGCTTTTCGCTGGGAGAGTCCAGCCGTGCGTAACGTAGCGAGGTCGCATTGGACGACCTCCTCTGGTGTTGGGAACCGACGCGGCTTCGCAGGGTCCTGTCCGTCATCTTCCCTGTTGAACAAAGCCACGAATTTGTCCTTGATAGATCGGGCTGCAGCGCCTGACACCTGTTGTCCGATGATACTGCTAACGAGACTGCGGAAGGGGTCGATTTCCTCGGCCAGTCCCTCAGGGGAAAATAGAGGACACGGATGTCGCCTGATGAGTGGCTCCAGGCGCGCATCTGTAGCAATTAGATGTGCCACGGCTTTCTCGAGAAGGTTACCGGTCGTAGCGGTCGGACGGGGCCGACCGGTCTTGGAGGGGGAGAGACTCTCCGAGCCGGGAGGATAGGCGACGAGAGAGGAGCCATGGGGTGTTAAGAGTGTTGCATTTGTCCTATGCGGTTCGACGGGTCGGTCAAGGGGAGGGGGGGTGGCATGTAGTCTGCTCGGAGGGTCGGTAGATATGAGGTCAAATACGTTATCTGTCTCCGCATTGTTGTTTGAGACGGGTATGGTTTCGGTATCTGGAAGGGTAACGTCGAGAGGAAGCTGTTCCACACTGATTTTCAGGTCATTGATATCTTTTCTAGACCGGCCTTTCGCTTTGTTGACCCTGCTGCTGGACTGAGGCCTGCTTGATCTCTTTGGTGGACTCGGCGGTTGCGGTGGTAGCACTTTGTTGTTGAGCACCGAAGTCAGGCGGGCCGAGCGTCGGAGGGTCATCATGAAGACAAGACGACGACAGGCACAGGCAATAATTGTGTCTTCTCCTTGTCCCTTCTATCCCTGGTAAAGAGTTGATGTCTTTTCGATGATCGCTTGCTGGGATGACGTTCGGTGCTGAGTACATTCATCCAGATTCCGCTTAAGTCATCCGCTCCGAGGCTCGTATTGAGTGAGATACTTGTATCCATATTGGTTGTATCAAGGGTCACAAACGGTCCACAGTCTATTATACAGCTTGTTATCGAGATTTGTATACGACGAGAGCAGATAATTGCTCTCCATGGCTCGATGTAGCTCGCTTCTGATACTGAGGGCTTCATGATTGATTACCGCTCTTTCGCCTAGGAATACTCCACCGTCTGCCCACTACTTCATCTAGGCCATGTTAAAACCGAGTTATATATCTACCCATTCAGAATAAAGGTATTTACAGAGGAAAAATTGAGTGCATGTGTCTTGCACAAACTATGAACGAGCTCTTAACTGCAGATTTCCGAGTAATCATAACCATCCCGTCTGATATATTTGTGCAAGCGAATTGCGTTTTCTTTTAACAGAGAGGCCCTAGAGAGGCTAGCTCAACTGCTCATTAGCAGGGAGCTTTCGGTTTACAACTTATTCAAATAGTACATCCCAGATTGACAACGCATGGGACCTCCCAGCGGTTCAGAGAGATACTAATGTCATCAGATCTGTCGTCGAGGGGAGGTAGTATGCCCTGGTACACTGCAGGAGATAGAGTTGCAAATATATAAGGATACTTATAGAAGATATTATCCCAAATACGAGCAACCCTTATACAGGCCTTTGCTGCGCTCAAGTCCACCACACCCTCAAACGACTTCTGGCCATCTATCGACTATCGCGTCGAATAAACATAGCTCTAACGCGCCGAGTCGAGCCGATAAAGCCTAGAACTTAATGCACGCAATGGCAACCTCTATAAAGATCAGGGTTAAGTCATTCAGGCCTTCATGGTTGATTAAGGCTTACCCTGAGCAATAACATCCTTTAGAAATCCTGTCCAGGGAAGCACACTGCTAAGAGTTAGCTGCAAATGATATGAGACGAAGCCATGTTTTAGCGCACGTACCTCGGTGTTGCAAGAAGCAGCATTGCAGTCTCTGCACGAAGAAGAGGCGCCCACCGACCCCGGGGCCCTGTCCACCAATCACTCATTGGTAGGGAATGCAGAGCAGCTCCAGGCGGTAATCGCCATTATAAAAAGGGTGGGAATTTTTCGTGATGAAAGCCTGTTCGTCGAAGGCGAAGAGCAAGAGATAAGGACACAGGATGCCAGTTAGTAGCTAGAGAACTATGTAATGGGCAAGGAGAGTCAAAGACGGTATTCTTTCGACGAGGGAAGCCCAGTATTTATCATAGGCTTTACAGAGTAGATTGGATTCAGCCTAACTACTGATGGAAGGAGAACAAGTCATATGCCTTCTCTATCTAACAATATCCTATGCTCTTATTATAGTGATGTGACCCCAGTAGACCAGTCAAGGACATACAAGGTGAATACCGGTCATGATGAAGTATCAAGGGCCTCATCTGGTTCCTCTATGCTAATTAATTCGAATCTGAGGTAGGGAGGCCAAGGTTGAACTCTGGGAGTAATAAGACTTCTTACTCAGGCAATGGCAG